GCTCAGACTGCGGAGGAACTCCAGGGTGGGGGAAGAGGGGCAGTGTGGGGATGATCGGACGTCAGTTTCGGGCGTATTAACTTCAAGGCTTGTTCAGCAGTTTCCCTCTGGTGCTAACCCGACTTTTCATTCTCCTGGGGATGAGGAAGGTCACACTGCACGTGGTGTTTGAGTTTAGAAATTGTGAAAGGCACTTCCCTTCGCTACAGCAGGAAGAGTGAGGGGCAAATGCCACCCAGATCTAGGTCAGGGCATGGGGAAGCAAAAGGGGAAAAGGGGATGTTTCTTTGACTTTACCTATTACGTGATTAAGAACAGATATAATTAATAAATTAGCACTGTCTCTTACACGAGCCATGTTTTATGACTTTGGGGATAGTTTAGCTTAGTTTTGTTTTCATAAACTCTCAAGTCCATACACATGGGGTCAGAATTTAAATCTCAAAAGTGATAACGTGCACATTTAAGGGAACCATTAGGAAGTCTGGTGACACCGATAGTGAAGACACGGGAGAAGGGACAGCATGTGACAATCAGTGCACCCTCCAAATTGGGACCTTATCTTCACCTTGCTCACTGGGCTGATGAGCTTTTTTTTTTTTAATTTTATTTTATTATGTTATGTTAATCACCATACATTACATCATTAGTTTTTGATGCAGTGTTCCATGATTCATTGTTTGTGCATAACACCCAGTGCTCCACGCAGAACGTGCCCTCTTTAATACCCATCACCAGGCTAACCCATCCCCCTACCCTCCTTCCCTCTAGAACCCTCAGTTTGTTTCTCAGAGTCCATCGTCTCTCATGGTTCTGATGAGCTTTATTTAAGTTGTTGCTAACACTCCGGAACAGACACAGTATACTACTTCACTGGGGCTGGAGAAACAAAACCCCCAGTCATTTGCATTGTAGTTTTTATTTAGTGAAAGCTGCTGGTTTTCTTAATGGGAGAATCCTATTCCTGAATTCATATTTCCATTCTCAGAGAACTAAGTTTGCATTATTCTGTTCTCATAGCTCATGAGCCTCAAACATAGACTTTCTTCCCCAGCCACACACCTTCCACCACCAGGCATCTTTTGCTTGTTTCCCCACTGTTCTGGGATGTGGTCTCCCGCATTTCCTTCCCGGCAAAAATGCAGTTGTGCCTCCCTCCTCGAGTTTTCCCTGAGGACCGCGTCCTCATTGGCTTTGACATTTTAAAGGGTTAGAATAACAACAACAAATCCCAATTCACTGCTTACCTTGATGCCAGATCCTTTGCTAAAGATAAAATATAATTTCCCAGTAACCTCAGAGGTTTGGGTGATCTTACTACTCACATTTGGGATATGAGGCCGTGGAAACTTGGAGAGGTCAGGATACTTGACCAAGATTGCAGCTTATGAGGGAACTGGAGGGGACTTTCTGTCTCCCCTACCTCTCTCGCACCCCACCTCGAGGAGGGCTCCAGAAGCACACCCCACATTTCCCCAAATGTGGGGTGATTTTAGTGATAGAGGCATAACATTACATGAATGTGACTCGCACAGCAATGAAGTCTTTTTCTTCCCAATTACCTTTTTGATCCTTTTGATTAAATTATAGAAAAAACATTTCAGTGGGGTGCTGGCACATCTAAAACACATCTTCTAACACTTTTCTAATTTGCCTGTGTTACTAACAAGTGAGCACACGTCCCGTTCAGATCTTTGACAAGAGGACCTAGACAGAGTTCAATAACATGTTTTGTTTTCATTGCATTCCTTTTCACGTCTGCCTTCAATGTATGGCGGAGCATACTGGATTATGATTATTGATTTGGTGGCTCAAGGACAATACATTTGTTTAAGGGAGGAGAAACCGAGTTGATTTTAAAAGTATTAAATAGGCAGCACAAAGATTTGATGACCAAAAGTTGTACAAGAATGACTGACATTCCCCAGAGCTGCCCCATCCTTGGCGGCCTGAGCGGGACAGTGATGCATCATGTAGGGTCTTACACTGATTTCTCTTTCTCACCCCACTGGTCTCAGGAAAGGACAGGACAGTCATCCCATTAGCAGGCAGCCTAGATTGCCTGGTCTCCAGCCAACACACACGCACACGCACACGCACTTGGCAGAGTCACCTACCACCTCATCTCAAGCTGAGATCCACTAGGCTGTGGCACCAGTGACTGGAATGGGCAAGACCACACAGACCACAGGTGGCGGGTATACTCTCTGCTTCAACCTGAATACCGTCTGGTGAAGCAACAGCTTCCCTGAACCCAGAAGCTGCCTTATGTGTACAACCTCTCTACCGCTAACCCATAAGTTTGGTGCTCCCTCGACCTCTTGTGTTTGGTCTATTTCAGTGGTTCTCAGCTGGGGACATTTTGCCACCTTGGGGACATTTATCAATGTCCAGAGAGAATTTGGATTGTCACAACTTGAGGATACTACTGGCAGCCAGTGGGTAGACACCGGAGATGCTGCTCAACATCCTACAACACACGGGACAGTTCTCACAGCCAAGCATGATCTGGTCATGCAATATTGTGGATATGCGAGTGTAGAGAGCCCCTGTTCTAAGTTACAAGCTCCTAACAGACCTTTTCCCAGATTTTTCTTCAAGCTGGAGCCACCAGATCCCGTGTGGTTAAGCCTCTTTACTTCGTTCTGTATGTTTGTGTGTCTGTTTTTCTTACCATAGTGTCTCTGGCCCGCTGTAGCCACAGGGGGAAAAGGGGTCACGCTCCATTTGTTCACCTCACTTTCACGGACAAATCAATGTCACCGTTCTGCAATGCTTTGCTCCTAATTTTGTGTCTGTTCTGCGAGATGCTTCTGATCGATTTCTCTCAAGTTTTTGGCATCCTGATTTTCTCTGTTACTATGTAACATCGACACCCACCCCTTTCCCCAACTATACTTTGCTTATCAGCTGCTCCTCTGACCACTAAGGCTCATCGTACCATGGTGTTAGTCTCAACTGATTCACTTATATAGATCTTATTTAGCCAAGTAAATTGTAAACTCCAGGAAGAAACATCCCACGTCTTTACCTTTACATCTCTTGCTGCCTTTCTTATGATTTGCCTTATGTTTGTCTGACAAGTACCGTATTCTTTCAGATATTACATAATTGTAAATGTGAAATGTAACATTGACTTAATAACCGCTTTGCAGGGGTGGAGAGAAGAAAAGATTATCATAAATACACATGTTGAGTATAAGATACATCCTGCTCATCACAGTGTCCAAAAATTCTAAACACACAGAGACGCGCACACATGCCCATGCACAAAATACATCTTGACGGTGAGGCAATGTGGAATTGACTTGGATTCTGATCTCTTAAGTTCGCTTCTTAATACTGTCTGCCATGAGGTCATTTATTTTGGTTTTCATAATTGCAATCCCATTAGTATTTTTTTCATACAGGATGTTGGTGTGAAATGTCATTGGCAAAGAGAGGGAACCGTTTCCAAAGTTGGGCTTTCGTGCCTCTGGGAACTGTTGCCCTCAGGTGGCAACTTTGCAGAATGAAGCCCCAGGAGCTCCAGGAGCACAGGCTGTCCCTCCTGCCACTGTCTCCGTGGTGTGCTGGGTCACTCAACTTTGTCCCACCTCAAGGCATTCTGTGCGCAGTTCCTTGCCGGACTGTTCTTCCTGCCTTCTCTGCCAGAGGCCCGCCCTCCCCAGGGTGGCTCCGTGAAACCTCAATTTAAATAAAACTTCCTCAAGGAAGCCGGGGTCAAGTTCTTCGTTATACCTTTGCCTAGCACCACCTGCTATTTCACAAGCCATTCTACAGTTCTTTATTGAGCGCCAGATATAGGGCAAGCCGTGTTGTAGGCACTGGTTGAGGAACTATGAATAAATTAGGAACAAATCTCGTCTACACGGAGCTTACCTACCAGTGGAATAATGGACGTGAAGATTTCCTTTGTGTACTCACAAATCCTGTCTAACACTTTCAGGACATTTATGTGATGGTTACTGTCGTTCTATTTATTTTACAAATAGAAATGCAGGTGTAGAGAGGCTAACATGTACCAGCTCACAAAGCTGGCAAGGGGACAACCCCAGCCAGGCAATCTGGAATCCAGATTTGCTTCTTATTTCACTCTGCCTTGATACATACTTGTTATATGCAGGCATCAGTGAATTTCCCAGTGCTTTCTGAGCTCCTGATTATCTTCTAGATTCTTGACTAAATTGCATAATCCATGGTTTGGAGTGACAGGCTGATCATGTAGACAAAGTAATTCTGGAGAAATTCAACACTGTTAAGTGTATCTGTAATGGCTGCCATGTTCTTATGTCTGAATCCTTATCTTCGCAAAGGACATAGGAAAGACCCAAGTAAAACTCATTATTTTCCCTTCTCTGGGCTCTGGGTTTCCATCTACTGGCTTCTGTTAGCATAAGGCCATGAGGAAAGAGTGTTGGGGCATTTGGGACCACTTTGGCTGCTGGAAAAGTGTCCAACGTAAAAGTCAGTGGGTAAGGTAGAAAACAAACAAACAAAAAGGAATCCAGATTGATTTTGGAAATGAAAGAATCCTTAAAGCCATTGTCTCTGAGGAAGGAACAGAATCTGGGAGTCATAGAATCCTTCTTCCACCTCTGCTCTGGATGACATAGTGTCTGATGAGCTTCTGATTCATGGACAGTCATGAAAACACAGTTTTGCACGGGTGCCTCTTTGAAAGTGGGAAGCCGGAGTACTGGGATTATACTAAGAATCAAGAAACAGCTTTTTTATTAACCTTTGCTTCTTGACAAAAAAAAAAAAAAAAAAAAGAAAAATTCAGCACTGTGTTAGCCTAGAGTGAATGGTTTCCTGCCCATATTAACAACAACTAATAGGAAATTTTGATTCTAGTTAACTTCATTTAGCAAATGTGGACAAGAATCCTGAAATCATGTGAAATAAAGGGGTCTGGTTTCATGGAGTATTCTAGGTCCTCTGTGCATGGAAGTTCTTGGAACTGGATTTTCAAAAGCTTTTTGTTTTTGTTTTCACAGGATGTGTGAAACTGGGGAAGGGCTGTTTATCTTTCAAACGCGAGATGGGGAGGCCATCTACCAGAAGGTCCACTCTGCTGCCTTGGCAATAGCTGAGCAGCATGATCGCTTGCTCCAGAGCGTGAAAAATTCAATGGTACGTCTGGAATGTCTTCCTTATGACCTAGTGCATACCCTGGTAGAATGCAATCTTAGAATCTTTATGCTGAAAATATGGCCTGCATTATTTGAACAGATGGCTTTCTCCTGTACTCAACAGTGTATTACTTGGATTTAATAACATCCTTGCAAAGCCTCAAGAGCCAGCTGGTAGCACAGTAACTGGACATCCCTGTTTATCTACTTTGTGCCTCGATTATTACCTGTGTGTGTCTTCATCGGTTTGGGCTCTTACAGCAAATACCATAGAACTGGGTGGCTTATCAACAATAGAAATTTATTTATTTCTCACTGGGAGGCTTGGAAGTCCAAGATCAAGGTGCTGGCCTACTCAGTGTCTGGTGGCACCATCTTCCTGGTTCATAGATGGCTACCTTTTCTGTCTCACTGATGGATGGGGCAAGGGAGCTCTCTAGGGTCTCTTTTATGAGGGCACTAATCCCAACTGTCAGGGTTCTGCCCTCATGACATAATGTCCTCCCAAAGGCCCCACCTGCTAACCCCATGACCTTGGAGGTTAAGATTTCAATATATGAATTTGGGGAGGGGACATCATCATTAGTCCACTGTCATGAGTATGTGCATCAGAATCAATTTGGATGCATATGGATATGTGTGGACACAACTATGTAGATTATCTACCTACAGAGATATATTTATAGCTGTACCAGGCATTATCATTTCAATTGGTAACAGGGGCCAGAGAGAAGCGGAGTGAGGGGTGAAATGTCAAAAGCCCAAGTCCGGAAGACTGTTGATAAGACTGTGGGCTCCAGGTACTGGGCTCTTGATTTTTTCCAGAGAAGCCAAGGATTTGAGTCTGTATATAATATCTTGTAGTTTGTAACTGTTGGAAATGAATTCTTGTTAAAACCAGCAACAAAACAGTAACACTTTGTGGGCCAAGGGAAACCTGTCTAGAGACTCCATCCTGCCCAGAGCCATGCATCTCCCATCTCTGGTTGATCAACCTTCACGGACATTGATATATAAAGACAGCACAAACACAAATACACATGAGCAGATAGCTCTCTGGGAATACCTCCACTGTTCATTGCATTGTGCCAGGGACTGTGACTTGCACAGAGAGTTAGGATTGAAATCTTAACGCACAACAGTTAAATAATGCAGATCATGCATCGTGGCTGCAAATATATGCATAAAGCTTCACATCTGGAAGGAAATCTGCAAAACCAAAAGGAACTGTGTTGGCATGGTAAGATTAGGGTAGTTTGAAAATTTATGATTTAAATATGTGGAGTGGTTGGATTTAAAGAGAGGGGGAAAACATGCCAGAAATATGATCTGTCCCAGAGCAGCCTCAGATTATTCCCAAATGACTTGTTCATGCAGTGGTCTGCGATTTTAGAGCAGAGATCAGCCAAACTTTCTGTAAAGGGCCAACTAGTAAATACTTTAGGCTTTGTGGAGTAAGATGGTCTCTGTTGCAACTACTTAACTCTGCCATTGTTGTGCAGAAGCAACCATAGGTAAAAACATAATCCAGTGGATATGACTTTGCTGCAAAGCAACTTTGTTCATGGACACTGAAATTCAAATTTCGTGTAATTTTCACACATCATGAAATATTCTCTTGATTTTCTCCCCACCGATTTCAAAATATTTTTTTGACTAATGCAGTCTTGGTCTTCCTTTCCCCATTTGCTTACCAATTCTGGATATTGCTATAGAGATAGATAAATGGATGGATGGATGCATGGATGGATGGATGGATAGATAGGCAGGCAGACAGATGGCTGTAAAGTAGAATTCAAGTCCCTTGGAACTTTACAGGGCAACATGTCATTGCATTAAAATTGTTTAGCTGTCCCATTAGATGCCTTTAAGCATCTGAAGGAGTTTTTCCAAGATTACCTTACTGGTAAAGCCATCAATTAGCATAAATTGTTTTGTGCTTGAAAGGCAGGTTCTGTATGCACATGTTTTTCCATCTACAACCTACTCATTACTTCCACTAAAAATTAATCAGGAATATGAGTAATTCGTTTAGATCATCCCTTTGCAAATTTAACTGGAAAATAATGTTGTTTGCTCTTAATTTGCTGTATGCTTAACGAGTTCCATAAAATGAATATGATTTTTAAAGCAACAACATCCTGTTTTAGATGGAAATGAGTAAGCTTCAGAATGGGATCTGAATCTCAGGGACGTTAAGTGGGGATTATGAAATGCTGAAAATTAATGTACGTGAATCAGTCCCTGATTTGGGGAGAAAAGAGATACCCCATGACAATGAAGCAAATGCAGACAACCCTGCTGGCCCACCCTCCCAGGGTTATAGTACTGCATTTTCTGGTAACTGGGAATGGATCCACATAGATCCGGCCATATCCTCAACTAGGAATTGCGTGTTTACCACTACTGGCTTGCTTCTCTGAGATAGTCAAGGTCATAAATGGAGAAAGATGGTGATGCTCACCTCTGGGCTTTTAGCCTCATTATTAGAAAGTCCTGACCCACTGTTGGCTGCCTCTGTCGTAAAACTCTGAAGACCGCCTCTACAGACAGATGCTTCCCCGTGGGGCCTGTACCAGTCTGATGTTACAGCCTTAAGTGCACTGGTTGGGATGAGACTTGTGACCTGAACCCAGCAGCCATAAAGAGGAGGCTTGTGGGTCCCATCACAGCAGCAATAATAATAGTGATAGGTTGAATCATGGCTCCAACGATGTGTCCTAATCTCTGGAACCTACGAACGTGTCCTTACATGGCAAAAGGGATTTTGCAGATGTGATAAGTTGAGGCTCTTGGGTTGGGGAGATTATCCTGGATCGTCCAGGTGAGCCAGTGTTACCACAGGGGTCCTTATGAGAGGGAAACAGGAGGAGTAAGCGTCAGAAGGTGGTGTGATCGTGGAAACAGAGGGACAGAAAGAGAGATTTGAAGTTTATATGTTGATGGCTTTGAAGGTGGAAGAGAGAGATGTGACCCAAAGGATGTGGGTGCCCCTAAATGCTGGAGAAGATAAACACTCTCCCCTGGAACCTCCAGAAGGACCCAGCCTGGCCAACACCTTGACTTCAGCTCGTGAACTGATTTTGGACATCTGGTCCCCTGAGCTGTAAGAAGATACATTTAGGTTGTTTTCAGCCCCCGAGTCCTGGTAATTTGTTACCACAGCCATAGGAAGCTAGCACAATAAGGATATCCATAATACTAAATATGTATCTTGTCTCTACTCTGTAACAAGCAATATTTTTAGGGCTTTCTAACGCTATAACCACTGCCGTATGGGAGGCCCAAGGCCACCAGCTTGGAAGTCATGGGACTCAAATTTGGAGGAGGTGTCCTGGGGTAGCCCCCACTTTTCTCCTCACGACCTCTTTTCTTTGTCCTTTATGAGATCAGCTTGCTGCTGTTCTAAAAATACCAAATTAGTGACCAGCATTTAAAAATTGAGAGGTTTCACATAAAACTCAGATATCTATGTTATCTTTGAAAAGTGAAAAGGTCTAACAGCACTGATCTCACACCCCCACAAGGCAACAACAATCAGCTATGCCCAGGCCTGTCTGCCCTCTTTGGGCAGATTGGGGGGCTTCACTTCTCCAAAGTCCCTACCTCCCTCTTTTGTTACTCTCCGCAAGTGGTCCTTCTCTGCATGTTGGCTACCCATGCTCTGGACAATCAGTGTCTAGCCTGTTTGTCTTCTATTGTTTCATAACAAAGACCCGCCAGCTATGCACCGTAACACAACACACATTTACCATCTCATCGTTGCTGTGGGCCAGGAGTGTTGGCGTGGCTTCACTTTCTCACAAGGCTCAGATGCTTCAGGTGCATCTCAGGGTTACACTGGGGAAGGATCTACTCATGAGCGAGCGGGGTTATTGGTGGGATTTAGTTGCTTGTAACAGTAGGATTGCGGGCCTCAATTTGTTGCTGGCTGTGACCTGGAGGCCATCCTTAGCTCCCAGAGGCCACTGTGAGCGCCTTCCTGCGTGGGATCCCCCAACACACCACTGACTTCCTTGCAGACTGCACACCATGCAATCCTATGTATCCTAACCACACAAGTGAGATCCTGTCGCCCTGTCTGCTGATTAAAAGCAAGTCACAAGTCCTTCCTGTAGTCAGGGAAGGGGCCCACACAGAGTCTAAACACCTGGAGGAATAGACCTTGGAGGCCGCCATATTGGTGTCTGTCACCACACTGCACAAACTTCTAGAATAGTATTTATTTAGTGCTTTGATTTTACCTTTGTCAATATTTCCTACTTGAGGGTGTCTTGCTGATAATACCGTGCACTTACCGGCCATCTGCTGTCTGCCTCTAGTCTCTTCCATCATAGCAGGCAATACCATTTACCAAGCCTCCTACAATATGCCAAGCACTTCACTTGCTGTTTCTCTCATCACTACCTTAACTGGAAGGCAGACTCATTCATTCATTCCTATTCATTTGTTCATTCAAGAATGTTCACTGAGGACCTGACATGCTCTGCTCTGTGCTCCAGGATATAGTGGTGAATGGACGGTAAGGCTCATGCTCTCATTGGGCTCACAATTCAAAAGAGTATTATTCATGACCTTTGACCTGGAAGGAATCAGGCTCTATCAGAGAGATGAGAAAACTCACTCTCAGTTGAGATGGTTCAGTCACCGGCTTGCAGCCACAGAACCCCTTACTACTGGAGCCAGGAATGCAAGATCCTTTTGTCTGACTCCTAAACCTCTACCTCTGGCCATAGTGCCTTGCTCCCTTGGAGAGTGTGAAAGCTCTTATAGCCCCCATATGTCCCCACGAAGACCTGGCTTAGTGTTTGCAAATTACCTTGAACATCAGAGTGCCTTTCAGAAATATCTGTCAACTTAGAGTATGCCTAAGAAGATCACGGTTACAAGAAATCCCATTTCTTTGGGTAGTGTTGGCACCAAATAGCAATATTATATCTCAAAATTCCTCTCGACCGTTCTCGCTTTTTAAATGCAATGCGTTATTCTGCACTTTAAGGG